GAAATCTCTCCTAAGTCTTATGGAGTTGTTCCCCCTCGCTTTGTGAAAAGCTAAGAATGGAACGCCTCATTAAATTGGTTTTACTCACTGGATAATACTTTTTTAGGAATTCTTGCTGCAATTGAGCCCAAGAAGTGATGGAATTTGCAGCAAGGGAGTTCAACCAATACTTTACCCTATCTTTTAAGGAAAATGGGAAAAGATGCAAATGGAGTGCATTTCAGGGAAACCTCGCAACCTGATGGTTGAACAGATCTCAAGGAACTCATCAAGATGTTTATATGAATCTTCATTATCAAAGCCATGGAAGGATGGAAGCATTTGAATGGTACTAGATTTGATCACATATTGAGCTGCATCGATGTTTGGCATCACTATGCATGAGGGTGAAGCATAGGTGGTAGGGATGAAATGGTCTCTGAGGGTCATTGGTTCTACATTTGGAATTCCAGCCCTATCATTATTAACCCCCGCATTCCCTGGATTTCCTTCATTATCCGCCATTGTATTAAACTCAATTTCAAGTTCTCTTATATGAGAAGATTCCCTAAGGTTTCGTCTAAGAGTTCTTTCAAGTGAATTTATGTCAATGGGCGAGTCAATTGTGGGTAGGGAAAGTTATCTACGGCCAAACATCAACAACACATAATACAATCAATACAATAATTCATCATCATCAACTCCACATACGATGTTCCCTTTCTCCTCAATTATCAAGATAGAAATTAAATGGCTACGACAAAGACCGATGCTTTGCAATTGAAAATAAACAAGACAATAGCCTCAACAAGGGCTTCACAACTAAAGAACACTAAGTTAAACATATGCGAGAGATTCTGTAATACCCCTAATTTTAAAAGGATAGTCTCGGCATTTTTTAATATTTATTGTATTGCATTTTTATTTATTTTATTGTTTTTATTGCATTTTTATTTATTTTATTATTTTTCATTTGTTTAGTTGGTTATTTGAAATTTGAATTAAAGTGGTTTTATGTGCATTATTTGGTTTATTTAAATTATTAATTGTTGTGTCTATTTTCATAAATTATTAATTGTATTATTTGTAATTCACTGTTTTAAACTTAGGAAATTAACTTACTAAAATTCTTGTAATGTTAAAATTAAGTTACGTGAGTTTTTAAATACATTAATAGTCTCATAGTTTCTTTTGGACATCACCTAGTGTAGCCGACATAGAATTTAATCGTAGGTTTTGTTTTATGGGCTGACTAGGATTAAGATTTGGGCTCTGTCTCTAAAATTACAAGGATTAGGGTTTTAGAGTTAAACCTATAAATACAACCATTATGCTTTAGCCTAGGGTTTACAAACATAATTCATGTTACATAAACGTGAAGTTAGTTCATAACACAGAGGGTTGTGAACGAAGGCACTGTAAGAATTGTCAAGGTGAAGAACAGTGAGTACCAAAGGAGGATTTTGGTGGATTATACCAGAACCAAAGGAGGTTAAAAGGTAGTCAGTGGTTGCCGGAAGTTAGGAAGATGGCGACAAAGTTTTGAGTCCAAAACTGCAGGCAAGTTCTTATCTTCCTCTTTTCCTTTGGCTCGTGTTCTGTGCACCTAGATAGTCTCTAGGGATTAACTAATTAGTAATTGAAACTTATGTGTTTAATGTATGCTTGTTGATGATCTGTTTGCATTGAATTCAAATCTGTTTACAGTTCGTGTATTATTGCTCCCAGTTCTATTCATTAAAGCATATTAAAATCTGTTGAGATTTTAGTTACGATTCTTGCTTTTATCTTCTATAAACGAACCCTGGGGATGTTAATGGGATGATATAAGACTCCTAAGATCAGTTTGTGAAGAGGAACAGAGAGGTTGGAATAGAATTATAGTTTCAATTTTGTTCCTAACGCGGGTTAGTTCGGTAGCAAATTTAATCTCTATAATTGATTTTAATTGTTGTTATCAAGCCATTGGGATGCTACTGGGTATTAATATGACACCTAAGATTAGTTTTAAAAACTAACAGAGTGATAGGAATAAGCTGGAGAAGGAGCACAAAAGCTGAAACGAAGCACCGGGGACTGAAGGCTCTCAAAGGAGGTGAGAGCCGGCTCCATAGAAGTGGGAGCCGGCTCCCACAACAAGTAGAGCCTGCTCTAAGGAATCCTAGAGCCGGCTCTAGGCTGAAAGAGCCTGCTCCCAAAATTTGGAGCAGGCTCCCTTTTCATTTTACGTTTTGTTTTATTTTTTTTTATTTTTAGTTTTCTACGTACTGTGTTTTACTATTGGAGCATGGGATTTAATTTGTTGGTTCTGGGGTTCCACAGAGAGATTAGAAGGATGAATTTAGGTGTTATTAGGACCTTAAATTGATTAAGGTTTAATTCTAAATTGTCGGGACAAATAGTGTAAAAATTAAGGCACTTCCTATGTTGTTAACAAATGGAAGATAAATTAATTGTTGAATTAAATTTCAGCAATTTGATGGAATATAATGTGTTTATAAAACTTGTTTTAGAATGCATTCAAATGCATGATAAGGTCATTTAATTATTAATTTTGATCTATGCATGCTTAGGAGGCTAGTTGCTGAATTATTAAATCATTTCCTGCAACTATATGGTTAATGCTTGGATTTAAATTGCTGAAACATTAAACAATCTTCTGAAATTGTTTTAGCAATTTATTGGATAATAATAGGATTATTTAACCTATTCACATGCATGATGGAGTCCTTGACATATTAAATTTGGTCTACGCATGCTCTGGATGTTAGTTGTTGATTTATTAAATCATCTCCTGCAATTATATGGTTAAATGCTTGGATTTAAATTGCTGAAACTTTAAATATTTTTTTGCAATTATTTGGATGGTGGTTTTTGGTCTGTAAATTATTGAACTGTTATATATGTTGTAATTTACATGGATATGGGGGATTGTATGTACCGGTATGGGACGGTGACATACTAGGGACGGTTTAGCTCAAAACGCATAAACCTAACCTAATGGATTAATGGAATGGATTGAAAGATATCGAATCCTAATTGTGACTAAGTCAGATCAGCTGTAACCAAGTTAGATGACTTCCTGGATTAACGAATGGTAGTTAAGTCATATCAACTGAATAAGTTGAGTGACTAACTAGTTGGTTTATTGTATGTCAGTTTAATAAATAGTTGAACTACATACCCTAGATTTGGACGGACTTTATATATATGTTTATGGTACCACGAGTTGAGTTTGAGTCTCAGACTCGTTGGTTAGGGTGCGTATATGCAGTGGATGCGTAGCTGGTTATAATAGGTTGAGGTGTACCCTATTAGGTCTAGGTACTCATGCCCACCTTTGGGTGCCTATTCGCATGTTGCCTTCTATTCAGGTTGAGACCCCTATTATAGACTAGTGAATGTCCCTTAGTGTGGATATATTTATACGTATGGACTAGATAGATATTGTGAGGTGTCTACGGTGTATCTGCGTATCGGGTCACTGTATGGATTGCAGTTAGATTAGAACTTGCTCGTGGGTCTGACCCACTCCTTCATTATTCTTTTCAGGTACAGGACGATTCCAGCCTTAGAGCTTGATCGTGCTTGTCGAGGACAGTCTCACCTTCATCTGATTACGTAGGACTTCTCTCGATGTTTCTAACATTATCTATTTTTCAGTTTTTAGTTTCAGTTAAACTTTTGGTTAGGGGTCCATTAGTGGATTCCCAAGTTGTAACCTTGAAGTTTTGGAGGATTGGAGTTTCAATTTTCAGTTACACATGGAGGGTTTTATTATTATTATTTCTTTAAGCTTTATTCTATCTTTATTGTTTCTTTTTGTCATCTGTGTTCGTTTTAAAATATTTAAATTGTTTGATATTCCCTCGGGTTTGGGCCTAGGCCTGATCAACCCGTGTCTCGGATCGGAGGGGTATCACATATTCACAATTTTGAAACTAGAAGGTCAAGAGACTTACCTGGAGTCCTCTAGACTTACGAATTTGTTAGCGTTCCCTCGGCGAGCATCAAGTCCCTAGAATCTCACAAATAACTTACACACAAAGATGGTCAAAACCACACAAGAAATATTCACAAATCACAATATTAACAATCAAACCAAAGTTAACCCTAGAACTTCGGTTGCTAAACCATTTGCAGTCCCCGGCAACGGCGCCAAAAATTGATCGACGGATCGATTATCAATTATAAATCAACCTATTTGCAATAGCACAAATCATTGTAAAATAGGGCTATTGGTTGGGTAAGTCGAACCATTGGGACTACTAGGTATCTAGAATCTTTTTAGAATGATAAGGGGGTTTATAGAGGATTTGTTGGATTGTCACTAAAACTAAGAATGTGAATTACATAAAACAAAAGTGGGCAAGGAATAAAAGAGATAGAAATACAAGTTAGAGAAGATTAGGGAAGTGAATCCGCTCCCAACCCTATACACTTGCTAGATTAAGATTAGTTTGGGGAAAACAACATATATGATGGTCATGATACATAGCAACACTTGGTTGCTATAATATCCTCAAGAAGTTCATTAAATCAATAAGCAAGAATAATTCATCAAAGGTTCACATGCTTGAACTACCTAAACTAGGGAAGACTAGGGAAGTGAATCCGCTCCCAACCCTATACACATGCTAGATTAAGATTAATTTGGGGAAAACAATATATATGATGGTCATGATACATAACAATACTTGGTTGCTATAATATCCTCAAGAAGTTCATTAAATCAATAAGCAAGAATAATCCATCAAAGGTTCACATGCTTGAACTACCTAAACTAGGGTGTAGTCTTCAACATGCTCACTAAGCCAAAGATTATCAAGCTCTTAATTAAATGATGAAAGCACATAAAGCTAGGAATCAAGCATAGACCATCAAAGGGAAAACCTAAGCCATGGACTATCAAGGTTCTCTAACCTCATGCCATTAAAAACCATTTCATGATCTTATTTCCATTATCACCATGAAAATGCAAGCAATATGATCAAAAGAGAAAACAAGCTAAGACAAGATAGTAAACTCAAAATGATCATTTATAGACACTATAATCCATTACAACAAGTATGAGGCTCTAAATCATGAAATGACCAAAGATTATACATTGTTATCCCAAAATAAAATCTACACTAGAACATGCTTACAAGGGAGGGCTTCATCACCTCCCTAGATGGAGAATTAGTTACCCATGGATGGACTAGAGGAAGGAAGAAGCTTGGATGCCACTGCCATTTTTAAGCTCCCCTTCTAGCCACAAAACTCTATCTTCTCCTCCTTTTTCTTCTCTAGAAAATCTTGCAAAATATATGTGAACCTTGATATATATGGTTCCCCTTCCCTTTTGTAGACAATATGTCTACCAAACCTCCTCAAAATAAGGCTCCACCCCCACCAAAAGACATCTCCAACCAACTCATAAAAGAGGGAAATCCGAAGTTGAGGGAATCAAGGCACAAGTGGGTCTGCTCGAAGATTGCGGTAGACCACTCTGTCCTGATTTCGAGCGCTCGAAGGTTTTCTGAGCGCTCGAAAATGCATCAGAATGCATTTTCTTCTTCTTCTGCTTTGAATTCTTCTACATGGATTTATCCTTGGCCTATTGAGAATTATTCACCCTTTTTTCATTGTAGAAGGACTTCGTAGACTTGTTTTAGCAAATTCCTCTTGGAGATTTCCGGATGCAAAAGCCCGAAATGATTTGCTCTTCAACAAGCCTTTTGAGCTTCCATTATTCCCTTTTTGTAAAGAAACCTGAAAAAATGCACAGAAACAAAGAACTGGAGAAAATATATACATATAAACCAAAAATGGACTTAACTAATGCAAGTAAGGGCGCTTGAATATGCAATATTCGGCGCTTATTACACCCCCAAATTTACATTTTGCTAGTCCCATAGCAAAACCAAAATGACAAACTCAACAAATGACAACCATTGGATTGCTTCCCAAAAATATCAACCATGGTGAAATGGAAAACATGCATAGCTCAAATATAACTTGAGACAGACAGAAGACTGGAGATGGGATCATTAGGCAGACTACCTTGCATATATGAAGCCTTGGTACAAAAATAAATGATTAAACATGCTTAAACATCCATGCAACAGCATCATAGTCTATATAAATAACTCAATTGCTATCTCTTGAATAGAAATCAACTCTAACTTCAGTGAAAGTGAACCGGATTTCCCAACACGTGGCTTTAACCTTTTCTTTCCAATTTTAAGACACAAGTCTTCACATCATCGAATTCCCTTTTAAATGAAGTCACTAAGGCATGAATTTATTTACAATACAACTTTTGTTGCTTGTTGAAAATTTATTAAAACTCAAAATGATGCATATTATGGTTGTGCAATGCTGAACTCCCTTAAGCTTTCTAACCAACCCATGTAGCAAGCGTTAGGCCAACAACTCCCAAACTAGATGGCTTTAGAGTGTTGAGTGTAGAAACACTCCTAGGGCTTAATAGCTCAAATTGGCAAGGCTACGAATTCTAACAGACCATGTTTATTATATTTTTTAAATAACCGTGCAGTGCCTAAGTCTTTTAAGCTTTCTAACCAACCCATATAGCAAGCGTTAGGCTAACAACTCGCAAACCAGATGGCTTTAGGGTGCTAAGTGTAGAGACACTCCTTGGGCTTAATAACTCAAGTTGGAAAGGCTACAAACTCAAACTGGTCATTATCTTTCTTTCTTCTATTTTTTTTTTTTTTTTTTTTTTTTTTTTTTTTTTCATCATGCCAAAGGTATCCATCTATTAGGTTCAAGATCAAGGTTAATCAAGTTGCATGCCTCGCAATTAAGTTTCCGGTGTGCATCTGTGCATTGTGAAGCATAAAAGAGTATAAAATCCAACGAAAATCTAATTGAAACATTTATACAGACTAAATTGCATCCACATGATCTTTTCAAATTTTCTTTATTTTCAAAACTCAACAATTGCTTTCATACACAAGGTATTAAACATGAGCTTCATCTCTGACAAGTTTCAAATTACACTATCATTGCTTTACAAAAATGTACTACCAAAAATGCAATATTGCACCCCCAAACTTGAATAACACATTGTCCTCAATGTGGGACAACAACTAACATCTATTGAAAATTAAAGAGAATAACAAGAACAAAAATACCAAGAAAAGGAGGACAGTGCATGGCGAGGTGACAAAAAGCTCCCATGTGAAGTCCAACAAAAACAGGCCCCCAAACTTGAATTGTGCAACCTGTAAGGGAACACTGAGAAAAACAGATGGGAATACAAAAGACAGAAATAATAATGAAACATTAAAAGAAAATAATTAACAGATAATAAAAGAAAAGAGGGAATTTTCATTCAAAAGCAGGTAGACATGATTACAAAAGGAACTGAAATTCTATCATGTCTAACCAGATCAACTAATGCATAACACATTCCCATGTTCAAAAATTAGAAAAGAAAAGGAAATAGAAACATAAACATGTGAAACAAAAGACAAATCACGAACGGGCAACTAGCTACGGGCCAGGGGGGAAACGAGCAAGGATGGTATTGAGGAGGGATTGAGTTTCATGCCTCTCATCCTGTGCCACACGACGGTCCTCAGCTATAACACGACGGTCTTCCTCCACACGCAAATAGTCCTCTCGGACTGTCCTAGTGTAGTCCGCCAAGGTATGCTCAAAACGATCCATCCGAGCATGGATACTGGCGATGCCAGCGCACAGAAAAGAATGGTCCTGCTGAGAGAGTCTACAGGGGGTGCTTCCCAGTCAGCATCCTCAGCCATGGGATCATCCTCGGAAAAAGGAGGAGATGGAGAGTGGGGAGATGGAGGAGCAGCGGGCTGATGGGGCCGAGAATGGCTGAGAACATTGTTCCAACGTCGGATGGTAAAAGTTTGAATCTTTTTGCCCTTTTCTTTATGGGGTGGAACAATGAAGCCTTTGTGCTTCAGAAGCTTGGTGATGAAGAAAGGAAAAGGAAAAGCCCAAGCTTGAGCTCGTTGATGCTGGGTATTAAGACAGTCGTCCCAGAACCGTATAAATTGGCTCCAAATGAGCTCCGGAATATAGATCCATTGGCCTTGGTCCAGGGCATACAAAGCCTGTAGCATCAAACCTTAGTGCTCGGTGCTGTGCACCAAGGGGCAGATATTGTGCTTAAGCATGTAGTCAAAGAACCACACGCGCTCAGGGAGGGTGGATTTTAGTGTATAGCTCCGGGTCGATGAGGATCATCCACGTTGCAAATGGTGGCAACAATTTGCTCCACAGTTAAATTATTAGGCTCCTCATATAAAGGAAGATTCTCATGATTCATAATATCATCGGGGCACTCCAGAGGACAGCCGGAGACCTCCACAATGTCAGCCAGGGTAAAGGAATAAGGGACACCATCAATGGATGTGGTGAGAGAGATGGGCGGCCCTTTAGGACAAGTGAGATTCTGGTAGAAGAGGCGCACCACACGGGGATAGGCAATATTTGCAACGAGCTTGCAAATGTGCTGAATGCGCCGGTTAGCTAATTCAGCGACAGCCCAAGAAGTGGTGGGAAGAGTGGCAAAGACATCCGTGAGTGGAAAGAGAAACTCATAGTTGATCTTTTTCGTGAGCCAAGGTTCTCGGGGTTGCTCACGATTAACAGCGGGGGCATCCGCAGAGGGCCTAGGACGGCGAGAAAGTCCGGCAAGAGACATTTGGAGAGACGGATGTGGATGGGGAATTTCAGCGAGCACCTGGTGGGCACTAATAGAGAGGAAGGGTGAGAGTGAGAGTAATGGATGACAAAACTCAAAAATTTTTGGACAAAAATGCTTTCTAGCCTAGAGTAACAACATCAATCAACATCCAAACCTCCAAAAATTCAATACACAAACTCCTCAAGATTATAACAACAATTAAACAAAAAAAATGAAAGGAAAAGAATGAAGAAACATACCTTAAGAGGATGATGGGGAGAAGGATGGATGGAATGAGGATGGAGGATGGAGGTGGTGGGTATTTATAGGAGTGTAGTGCATGAATGGGGGAGAGGGAAAGTTAGGGAAGTTATGGAGGAGAAGTGATGGAGGGAACATTAGAACACATTTGACAAGTTTCAAGTTTATAAAGCAACATTAGAACATTTGACTTCAAAAAGTTTGGTTTAGAACGTCAATTTCAACACATTTTTCAAGAAAGTTCAAAATTCATGACAAATTGAGTCAAAAGGTATCAAAACTTATGACTTAGCATGGCTAGAATCAAGAATTGAGCACAAACAAGTTCAATAGCACTTAGCACATGCATTTGGATGGAAAGGAAACAAACAGAACATGTTTCAACTCATTTAAGGGCATTTTGGTCAACTTTGGAAAATTTTTACACTTTTAGGGCAAATTTGATATTTTTGAAAACTTTGAGGTCCAAACATTCATATGCATTGTAGATAAGCATCATTACAAGAATCATGCATTGAATATTCAACAAAGGAAGGAATTTAACAATTCGACTTCTCATTTTCAAAGCAAAGTTCAAAATTTCATTTTTTTACATTTTGGAAACCAACAAGTGTGATCATAAAGGCATTTTAAGCATTCAAGAATTAATTTGCCAAACAATGCACCTTAACCATGAGCAAGAGTCAACTTAAGATCAAAAACTTTCAAAAGGTTCCTTTTGAAATCACATTTGTGCATTTAGACATGACTTTGCATTTTCAAGTTTCAAAAGCACAAGTTTCAACTCAAGTCATGCTTTCATGCATTTATAACAATTTAGAAACAAACAACATCCATGCATTTTATAATCAGTATAAACAAATGAAACAAGTTGGGAATCATGCTCAGCAATATTCAACTTCAATGCCATTTTGCAACATCAAAAATTTCAAGAAACATTTTTCAAGTTCAAAAAGTTTCCAATTCAATTCAATTCTTTCAAAACAATTTTTTGGCATTCATGTTTCCATTTCAAATGACAAAGCAAACATTCCAATTTCATACTTTAAAATTCCATGGCCACAAACTTCAAATTCCATTTACAAGTTGAAATCTTAAAACACTTTCCAGAGACTTGTTATTTTTCTTTTTCAATTCCAACATTTTAACTTTAAAGCTCTTTTCTAAGTCCATTTCAAATTAAATCCACAAAATTCCAAGTGCCATTTAGAGAATTTAGAACCACAACACAAGTTCAATTTTGCAAAATTTCGGCATTAGTTCCCCTTAAAAATATGCATTCCACAAATTTGCAACAAAGGCACAATAACATGCATATATATAGAATCAAAATCAAACTTTAAAGTTTCATAAACAACCAATTTAACGTCTCAAACTCCATTCAACAAGGCAAAAGGGAAACAGCCCACAACCAAGATCCATATGTAAATTGTCCATTCTCCTTCTACACTACAAACTATACCCATACTCCAGATTTTTCCTATCCTCCCCAGCACAAATTCACAACTATATATTCAAAAGAAAGTAAAACTAAAACTGAAATATATATGCAAAAATAAAATAAGAATTAAAATAAAAAATAAAATAAAATAAAATAAATGACTTTCTACATACCTGGTTTGGAAATGAGTAGAGGAAACGGAGAGAGAGAGATTTTTGGGATGAATCCACAAAATTTCGGCCTAACCGTGGCTGGAATAGATGACCCGAGCTTCACCGGAAGCTCGCTGAAAATTTCAGAGAGTCGTCGGTGATGAATCGACTTCTCCTTGGCCTAAATCGGCCGGAGAAGAGAAGTATAGAAGAATATGAGAGGAAATAGAGAGAAAGGTGAATGAACTCGGCCCTTGGCCAAGAGTTCTTCTCTGGTTTCTATCGAGGACGGCTGCAGCCTTGGGGATCTCCTTGGGGTTTACCGGAGTGAGATGGACGAAGGTGGGGTGGGTTGGAAGCCGAAGGTTGAGGGAGAGATTGGAAGATTGAGAGCTTGAGAGAAAAGAAAATGAGAAGGTTTGAGATTCAGAAAAAAGAATTGGGGAGAGAGAAAAGAGAGGGGAGGCCAAGAGTTTATAGAGGAAGTGAGAGAAAAAGAGAAAAGAAAGAAAAAAGAAAAGAAAAAGGAGGAGAGGGAAAGAGAAAAATAAAAAAAAAAAATTAGGGTTTGAGGAAGGCCAACGGCCAAAACAGTTTTCTCGGAATTTGAAAAGACGTAATTTCATTCGATCGAAGAGGTCTTCGATCGATTGAACATTTATTTCGATCGATAGAAAGGTACTTTGATTGATAGAATGGAAGATGAACAACTTGATTTTAAGAGTTTAGATCAATCCAAATGAACTTCGATTAATCGAGGAGGTGAGATCCTGAGAGCAATTTCTGGTGTGAGCCGTTCGTCAAATACCAAAGCACAATTGTGGTATAGTGTGGCCAAATTTGAATTTATAAAATGCCAATGCCACTACTAACTATTAACAAAGTTAGATTGAGTAGGGATCGTCCTAAAAGAAAGGAATGGTACTTTGGAATCAATAATGGAGTAGTAGGTCGAATGATCAAAATAGGGGTTTGATTTGATTAATCTATTGGTTCAATTAAGACAATTAAATTAAATGACAATCTAGAATTAGAGAAAGATACACGAGAGAAAGGTCTTGGGGCTTAGAGTTTACCAATAAGTTTTACTTCACCAAACATTAGCAATTGTAAATTAATGGGAAAATTCAAGTTGTAAAATGTGTGTGTGTGTCACCAATTGAAAACAATGCATAATGGATGGCAAATAAGCATAGATTGTCTAGTCAATCTAGTAAATAGCACAACCTATTAAATGAGACCAAAAACCATTCAATTAAACAACAATTAGTGCACACACAATATTCTAAAGAAATGTATTTCTTACACTCATAAGTATGGAACATTAAACAATAAGAATGGATTGTCCACCTATCTGAGAAATTAAAGCAATTACACAACAACTAATTTAGTGACATGAAAATTAAACTAATTAAACTAAGGGTGTGGCACAATCCATCAAGAAATAAGTATGAACCATCAAATAAATCACAAGAGCATTCAATTAAGCACTATGCTTTGACCATCACTAAATTAACAACATCGATACACATAGACATACATCAATTTTATTAAATCTAGAGAAAAAGACATGAACATTCATTCTAGCATATATAGACATATGGATAGAATTAACTGATCAATTGAAAGCCTTAATCTATACAAATTAAGTAAAAATCATAAGATCTATATTTATTCATGGTTAAAACATCAATTACAACTAAAATCTCTAAAAATACACAAAAGGTAGGTTTAGGAAGCAAGCCTAGGGGCTATCTCTAGTCCCAAGAGAAGGATTTAGCCACTCATTGTAATGATTATAGAACCCTCAAGGGCTAACTTGGAGGTTGACATCATCATCTCCAACCTTACTTTCTTCCCAAAACCCTAGTTCTAGAGAGAAAACTATTTCCATAATTAGTAAAAACTATATAATCTTTTTACAATATTATTCAATTAATCTATTACAAGCCTCTTTGAGTAGACACCAAGTCAAAAATACAGCCTATGATTGGAGGAAATTCGCAGCTACCAAAGTTAGGTAGAGTCCGGTGCTCTCGGGAATTAGACAGCACACTGCTAGCAGTCTTTTCGATCGATCAAACACTTAGCTTCGATCGATCAAAGCTGACGTGTCATCAAAAATATATTCAAGGCCTTATCCACTTTGCTGAGCTGGCACCGCTGTAATACCCCTAATTTTCAAAAGGATATAATTGGAATTTAATAAATTGTTTTTGGTGCATTTTAAATTGCTTAATTGATCATGTGTTTAATATGATTTTATGTCTAAGTTTTATTAACCTAATTGTTTGATTATGTGTGTAATTAGTGTTTTATTTACATAAGTGTTAAATGAAATTAATTATTATTTGATTTTGGATGTTTACTTTAATTAATTGATTCCTTGTTTTATTTCTTTTAATTGAATTTTTTTGTTTGTTTAATTGTATTTTATTTCCTATAATTGAATTATTAGTTTTAATTGTTTAAATGCTTTTTTAGTTTTTAAAATGGAATTAGTTGGATTAACGTAGTATTCCTAATTGTAATGTTAAAATAGGGTTCTAGTCTTTTATGTCTCACGCCGACTAGACTGAGAACTAATTAGGTTTTCCATCACTGATTAGAACTGGGTTTAGGGTTTTATTGGTGCCTATATATATACTGTTGTACGTCTTCAAAAGGGTTTTCAGAATCCTATGCATGTATAGTATTATAGAGAGAAAATAGAGAGAGAGATTGTAAGGAAAACAGAGGGATTTGCCGTTAGGGTTTCGGCTGTGGATTAAAGGACGGACCTAGGAGGAGGGAAGGTTGAGCAGTAGGAGATTGACAGTGAACAGACGTCGTCGGAAAGCTTGGAAAGACGACGACGAGGTTTTGAATCAAAATCTCAGGCAAGTTCTTTTCTTTCTCTCTCCCGTTGGCCTGTGTTCTGTGCACCTAGATAGTCTCTAGGGTTTTAATGGATCATTAACTGAATCTTGCATGCTTATTATATGTTAAATTGATTATCTGTACGTGTTGAATTAACTCTGTTATAGTCTTGCAAGTTTTGGTTTTAGTGGTTGTTTCTTAAGCATGTTTAATCGGTGAGTGTTCTAAGGTTCTTAATAATGCAATCTGAGTTAAGTAATGGTCTGGGATGATACTGGACACACTTAGGACACTTAGGAACAGTTTTAAAAATAAATAGAAAGGTTGGAATGGCCGGAGATGAAGCAGATGGTTAGAAGCGAAGTAGAGTTGGACCGGAGGCTCTTAGAGAGGGAGAGAGCCGGCTCCATAGAAGAGGGAACCGGCTTCCTCATCTTTAGAGCCGACTCTGGGGAGTCCAAAGCCGGCTCCTAACCCTCCTGAGCTGGCTCCAAGAGTTATGGAGCCGGCTCTATGCTCTACAGAGCCTGTTCCCAAGTTCTGAGAGCAGGCTCCTATGTTTTGATGTGTTCGGGGTTTGTTCGGGTACACCGTTTGGACGATTTGTGTATCTTGAACTGTTCTGGAAGTATACTGGGGTATTTAAAATTCCATACAGGTGCTATTAAGAGCTCTCAGTGCATAGTTTATACAGTTATGTGAGTAGAATACACAGTATGAAATTAAACAATTTTGCATGCTATTTACGGATAGAAAGGATTTAAATTGCCTAATTTAAATTAGTGATTTAATGGATTATAGCATGAGTTTAGACTTGTTTTAAATACATAGGAGGGTCCTCTAATTAATAGGTTTGGCCTATGCATGCGCTGGATTTTAAATTGCTAAAGAAATTAGTTCTTTTCTGCAAATTACATGAATAAAGGATTGGTTTTAATTGCTGAGATATTTCATACTATTCTGCAATTAACTGGATAATGGAGTTGAGTTGGATTATGGTTTTGGATTTTAATTGTTGAAATATTATACATTATTCTGCAATTAACTAGATTATGGTCTTGAATTTTAATTGCTGAGATATTAAAACTCTGTTCTGCAATTATGTGGATTAAATGCTTTGGATTCTTTGCTAAACTATTAAATAATGTTCTAGCAATTTACAGGGATGTTATTTTGGATTTTGGTTGATGAACTGTTTAAATTCTGATTATGTGGATTGTATTTGATGTACTGTATGAGGTGTTGCATCATTTACGGATTATTTGCATTATATGCACCGGTATGGGACGGTGGCATATGGAGGGACAGATTAGATTAAAACGCTAATTCCTACCCATTCATACAAACGGAATGGATTAACTAAAATAGTTAAATCCTATATGGTTTCATGTCCTGTCAACTAAAATAGTTGAATGACATATTGGATGTTTGTTTATATTTCTGTATTAGGAAGGAAATGGGTTTAATTAAAAACATTTAAATCCTAATTATATGTCGTGTCTGGACGACGAATAGTTGACCGACCCAACATTGTATTTGGATGGAATTTATATATATAATTTATAATACCGCGATATGAGCTTGAGTCTCAAGATCGTTGGTTAGGGAGCATATATGTGTTGGGATGTGTAACTGGTTATGATGGTTGAGGTATACCCTGTTAGGTCTAGATACTCATGCCTACCTATGGGTGCGTTTTTGCATGTTACCTTCTATTCAAGTTGAGACCCCTATTGTAGTCCAGTGAGAGTCCTGTAGTGTGGATATATATATATATTTACGAACTATATAGATATGGTTGAGATATCTAGGATGTATCTACATATCGGGTCTCTGTTTGGATTGTAGTTAGAATAGAACTTGTTCGTGGGCCTGACCCACTATTATTTTTTAAGTATCAGATGGTTCCAGTTTTAGAGCTTATTCGTGCTGAGTAGAGACGGTCACTTACTCTTCCGACTGCATAATACTGCTATTTATATTTTGTTTTAGGATTCCCGAGTTGTATTCATGGAGGATCAGTTGTATCAGAAGAGTTTAATTATTAATGGAATTTTATTATCAGGTTTCAGTTTCTGGATTATCATTTTAGTTTCCTTTCAGCAATTTTTATTTATTTCTATTTACTCTGTGTTCGTTTATTTCTAATTGGTTTGATATCCTCGAGTAATCGGGCATGGGCCTGGCCAACCCGCATCCGGGAATCCGAGGGTATCACAACCGCCTCATTTCGATCGATTGTAACCGACTTCGATCGATCGGGACTTCCTTCGATCGATCGAAGTTTTTTCTGGTGTAACTTTCTTAACTTCTTTCCAACTTTGCTCCTTAGCTCCAAAATTGAGTTAAATTGCTCGTATTAGCCTGTTTGAACTTTATTGACTTACAATAGACAAAAACACAAATAAATACTAAGATATGAAATTAAGATAGATGAATAGACTAAAATACCCTAGCTTAGGTACTAAAACGCGTCACATTTGAGCACTTATCACATCCCTGAACTTAGATATTACAAGTCCCTAGTAATGAACTACAAGGAAAGAAAGAAAGAAACAACTAAGTAACTATGAACTAGAAAACAATAAAAGGATAACACCACTTTCGTAGGGAACACGATTGCATTTAGCATATGTAACAAGCCTTTTAAACCCCTAGGTTACCCCTAGTGGACGAGTGAAGTCTCATGAGGGTTTCCAGAAATGATA